AAAATTATACTTATCTATTTTTAAATCAGTGTACTTATAGTTTTTTTTTAAAGAAAAACTTTTTCTTAACATTTCATTTATTATATTTTCTAATAATTCAACAACATTTATTACATTAATAAGTAATAACAAACATAGTTTACCTATTTAAAGTTTTATTAGATCTTTTACATTCTTTATTTTTTCAATATTTCTTAAATACTTTATTACTTATAGTTACCATAATAATTTGACAACATTTATTTTACATGTTAACCGTAATAATTCAATATGTTTTACTGGAATTTTCCATTGTGACAAGAATTAAAATGATTAATAAATATTTTTATTTATTTACACGCATTCGGTATACGTCCAACTACAAATCATTTCTTTTGGGTATCATTTTTTTCTGTTTTAAAATTAAGCTTCATTCAAACATTATAATTTTTGTGATTTTGAATCAGGTTCTCGCTGATTTGATGAGTATGGTTCTGATACTAATATGTTTAATAATCAATCGCAAATTCAATAGAACAACAATATAATAAAAAGCTATAAAAACATGCGCCGGGTTTAAAACAATTAATTAAATATTAGCATGCACAAATAAATATTATATTTTAAATAATGATTTAAATATTCAAATATATTATAACGTTAATAATATCTATCACTAATGATGTAAAAATATTTTTATTTTTTAAAGTTGCGCGGATTAGTCTAGTATATATTAAAATCAGTTTTTATCCTTATTTTTGTTCACTTTTTCCTTCTTATATATATATATATAGATATATACTAGTATAACCTCCCGTGCTTCGCGCGGATCAATTAATTTACTGTCATCCAAATTATCTGATTATAAAATTGTAATGCTCGTTAACATATCAAACTAAATTTATTTACTAAATTTCTAGTAAGGATCAAGCTATGGTTTATTTCTTCAGACTTTAATAATTGTTAGCAATCTCTTCTAAAAATATTTTATGTTGCCTCAATTTTTGTAGATGGTTCTTTTTTTTACATACGTTTTCTCCATCTATAGCATATAAGTAACAGAACTTTTAAAAATCCAATAGAAAAAAACAGATGGGTATCTTTAAAATTTTATATTTTTCTTTAGGAGAGTAGTTGCACGAGAACATGTAACTGTTTACTCAGATTTTCCATCACTAAAATAATAACAATGAAGGATTTTTATCAGAAAAGAAAACAATGAAGGACTTACTTGCCTTCTTCTTTTTGATAACGTGATGTGGCTCCTGGTTTTGATACTTCAATTAACAAATTAGAAGCTCTTTGGTTATAGATAAAACGTAGAGTAGAAAACCAGTACATCTGCAAATTATACAGGATAGAAAGAACACAGTTTGATTGATGATAAAAAGTAACGTGGGATTAAAATTCAGAGAAAAAATTGGAATTTAGGAAATTGAAGATTTGGAGTGCATAAAAATAAGAGATAAAAAAAAGAAACTCTAATTGTTTTTAATTTTTAACCTTTAAAGCTTCGCCAAATGTCACAATATGATTAGTCAAGTGACTTGTGATTTAATATATAAGAGATACATATATATTATTTTAGTATATTACATTACCTAGGGTTGTGGAATTCACCGCTAAGCCGTCGTCATGGAATATCGGCAACAGTCTCTTTTGCATGATGGAAACTGCAAACAAACCATTCCTCTCGATCTCCTTGTCGAGTTACTCTTTCTACTGCCTCCCAAATCACTCGTCCGATTCCAATCCGTGTCAAAGCTGTGGTTCTCTACCATCCGCAGCAAACTTTTCGTAGACTTGTTCCTGAATAGGTCAAGAGCTCGTCCTCGTCTCCTTTTATCCTTGGGATACTACTACGGATCCAAAGAGTGTTTCATCTTCTCGGCTCCTGAACATGACAACAACGACGATGAGAAATCCTCCACAGTCATGGCCAGAGACGACATGAAGAACTTGGAATCCGGCTACTACTTGGCCTCTGGATCTGTCAACGGTTTTGTATGCTTCAGAGGTTTTGTTCCTAGGAACAGCGATTATAATCCGATCATCGTTTATAATCCCACCACTAGACAAATGGTGAAATTGCCAAACGTTACACCCAACAAAAGAAAAATGTACGCACGTCTTGGCTACGATCCAGTCGCAGATCAATACAAGGTGTTGTGTGTGATGATGCTAGACGGTGAAAAATGCAAATATAACCAACAGGAGCATTTAGTTTGCACTGTGAGTTCATCTGAGAAACAAGAGTGGAGAAAGATCGAGAACACAACGGGAGAAAACTATCACTCTTTCTACGGAGAGACATCTGTATACGTAGAGACATGCATTGATGGTGCTCTATACTACGGAGTTGGAAAGTCAAGAATAGTTAAGTTCAGCTTTAGATCAGAGAAGATTGAGTTTATTAAAACACCCAAAGAGTGGAAATCACACTATCCCACTCTTATAAATTACAAGGGAAAATTGGGCGGTCTAGATTATCATTGCGAAGCAAATTTTATGACATTGTGGGTTCTTGAGGATGAGGAGAAACAAGAATGGTCGAGCATGAGGTGTGAGTTAACTTCCACGTGGAAAGATTTACTTGGGGGGTATTACGTAATGTCCAAAGGAGTAATTCATACGGGCGAGCTTATGGTGTTCAATCCATCTGTAAAGCCTTGGTTAGAGTCATTATATGTTTGCTATTATGATTTTAATAAACAGAGTACGAGAAAAGTAGAGATCCAAGGAATGGTGGATGATGATTTGAGACGTATCTATGGAATCGGTCAGCTTACGACGATGTTATGTTTTCCAGGTCATATTGAGAATATTAGGTTCTTGTGAGTTTTTTTTTGTTGTAATAACTATTCAAGGATTTATTAGTTTCTTCCATTCAGTTTGATCATGAGTTGATTATCAGCGTTTGAAGATCTCAGGTTGCTTTTTTCAAAATTTATTGTTAGTGATGGAGTTTAACTAAATAAACAAATAAATGTTACCTACAAACTAACAAAGGTCCACAATCACTATCATTCAAGAACAGACAAACGAAGAAGAAGTAACCCGTGATGTTTACAGCTCAGATCATAGGTTTGACTACGTATACAAGACGGTTTAGATCATTCATCAAACCATTCACAACCAGCCGCAATGGAAGAATCGTCTCAGGAAACTACACAAGAAACATCCTCTTGATCTCGTTTTAGTCTTCCAGCGCAACCCCTCATCCGATTCTAAGCAGTGTCGAAGCCTGTGGCTCCTCCATCATCCGAAGCAAATATTTCTTCCAGACGTTCCTAACTAAGGTCAAAGACTCGTCCTCGTCTCCTTTTAACGTTCAAACACTTTGATTTGCCTTAAGCGTTTTGTCATCCGTAGACACGACATGATGCTCTCGGATCCTTGTCTACTATACATCAGATCTCGTCCTGTAAACTCTTAGCTCCTCTAAACTAATTATGTATCTTAACCCATCAGGAGAACTCTTCAACTTCCTGCAGTCATTTATCTCCAAATGACAAAGACACGGCATATAATCTTCTTCAACGATTATCCACTCCTCAAGATTATATATCAAGTATTGTGAACTCTACAGTATGCAATTAGGAAACCCGGCTTTCGAGCATACCATTTATCTCTCGGTGAAAGAATTGCTAAACGATTCTACTAATCAAATCGGTATCTATTCTATTAAATGAACTATAAAATTATACTTACCTATTTTTAAGTTAGTTTTTACAGATTTTTTTTTTTAACTTTTTCTAAACACTTCATTTATTAAATTTTATAATAATTCAACAACATCTATTACATAAATAACAAACAGAATTTACCTATTTAAAATGTTTTATTACATCTTTGACATTCTTTATTTTTTCCACATTTTCTTAAATACTTTATTAATTATATTTATCATAATAATTCAATAACATTTATTTTACATGTTAACCGAAATAAACTAATAATTCAGTATGTTTTAATGGAATTTTTCATTTGTGATAAGAATTCAAAATGATTAGTAAATATTTTATTTATTTATTTACAGGTACTCGGTATACGTTCAGTTACAACTCACTCCATCTTTTGGAGATCATTTTTCTTTCTTCGTGTCTACTGACACCTATCTTTTTCCTGTTTTCTTTCTATGTTATGCCTCCTTGTAAGCTCGAACTAATTCCAGTGTTATAAAAAAAAAAAAAAAAAACTTCATTCAACATTATAGTTTTTGGGTGGTATTGAATCAGGTTCTCTCAAATTCGATGAGTATGGTTTTGATGTATAAAAACCTCAAGATAAATAGCTAATATCTGTGAAACAGCTTTGAATATTGCTACCAAAAATAACTATATTACTAATTCAAATCAGGTGTTTATATTAGAACTAAAAATATTTTTAAAATAACCAAAAGTAATTATATTATCTGATACGATTATTATGTATAAGTATCTAAAAATATTCAAATAAGAAATATATAATTAGCTATATGGTGACACGTGTAAAATATATAATACTAATCATAAAAACATATATTAATTTATAAAACAAAAGTAAAAACTAAGGTGGGTGCACATGTCAATTTCTAGTTCAAAGATTAGAACTGAAACAAATTTAGAAAATGAAACAGCATATAGCACATGTTGGCACTGATTTGGTGACTATTAAAATAAAAATTGGAATATGAAAGAAAAAAAAATAACAAAATAGTAAAAAGAATGTGAATATATGTTATTTATTGTACAGTCTCAAATTTGGTAAGTAATGTTTTCGGTTTATAATTCGTTAAACATCTAAGAAATGATATATGAAAAAAAAAATATTATTTATAAACAACGTAATTTTTATTTAATAAAAATAAATATATTATTTCATTTTTTATAGTCTTTGTTGACAAAACAAAATCAGTTTGATCCTTATTTTTGTGCACTTTTTCCTTCTTTCCGTACATATATATTCTTTTAGCTAATACTATTATTTTTACTTGTATATGTATTACCTAGGGTTGTGGAGTTCACCACCAAACCGCCGTAATGGAATATTTGCAACAGCGTCTTTTGAATGATGGAAACTGCAGCAGAACCATTCCTCTCGATCTCCTCGTCGAGATACTCTTTCTACTTCCTCCCAAATCACTTATCCGATTCCAATCCGTGTCAAAGCTTTGGTTCTCTACCATCCGCAGCAAATTTTTCGCAGACTTTTTCCTCACTAGGTCAAAAGCTCGTCCTCATTTCCTTTTATCCTTCGTTGGCTATGGATCCAAAGAGTGTTTCATCGTCTCGGCTCCTGAAAAATCCTCCACAGTCATGGCCAGATCCACGATGCCGAACTTGGAACCAGGCTACTACTTGACCTCTGGACCTGTCAATGGTTTCGTCTGCTTCGGAGATGTTTATGATCCGATTACCGTTTATAATCCCACCACTAGACAAATGGTGAAATTGCCAGACGTTACACCCAACGGAAGAAAAATGTATGCACGTCTTGGGTATGATCCAGTCGAAGATCAATACAAGGTGTTATGTGTGATGATGGAACACGCTAAAAGGAGAGATAACGAACTGGAGCATTTGGTTTGCACTGTGAGTTCATCTCAGAAACAAGAGTGGAGAAAGATCGAGAACACGACCGAAGATAGCTATCACTCTGTATACGGACATATATGCATTGATGGTGCGCTATACTACGAAGTTGGAAAGTCAAGAATAGCTAAGTTCAACGTTAGATCAGAGAAGATTGAGTTTATTAAATTACCCAAGGAGTCGGAAATAAACTATTCCACTCTTATAAATTACAAGGGAAAACTGGGCGGTGTAGTTTATTCTTGCACAGAAAATTTTATGACATTGTGGGTTCTCGAGGATGCGGAGAAACAGGAATGGTCGAGCATGAGGTGTGACTTATCTTCTACGTGGCATGATTTACTTGGGGATTGCGTAATGTTCAAAGGAGTGATTCATACGGGCGAGCTTGTGGTGTTCAATCCATTTATAAGGCATTGGTTAGAGTCATCTAAGTCATTATATGTTTGCTATTATGATTTTAATAAACAGAGTACGAGAAAAGTAGAGATCCAAAGAATGGTGGCTGATGATGATTTGAGACGTATCTATGGAATCAGTGAGCTTATGACGATGTTATGTTTTCCAGGTCACATTGAGAATATTAGGTTCTTGTGAGTTTTTTTTTTTTTTTTTTTGTAATAACTATTCATGGATTTATTAGCTTTTTCCATTCAGCTTGATCATGAGTTGATTATCAGCCTTTATAAGAAACTATTTAATTCCTGGAAAATATTATTATTTTTTGTTTGAAGATCTCAGGCTTTATTCAAAATTTCTAGTTAGTAAAGACCATCATTAACGCTGAGTTTCTTAGAAATCATTTTCTTATTTTTATTATTAATTTTTGTCTGACTTGTAAACGCTATGGTTTGCTGCATAGTGGTTCATCGATCGCTATTTGTATCCCACAAATCGTAACACCTGGTAATGTTACACCTAAAAGAAGAGACATATACGCACGTTTAGTGCTATATACTATGGAGTTGGTCATACAAGGATAGCTAGATTCGATGTTAGATTTCATACAAAGATCCAACTTCATCAGAATTCAAACATAGAGACAAGAAGCGATTTATTACCACCCAGGAACACGTAATTGGATCCTACACTACCTAATCGAAACATCCTTGTACCCTTTCGACCACAACGAGAACAAGATTACTCTACCAGACAGAAAGACTTGTTTCTTGAACCACATAATTCTATCACTACTGTATCTACACCGACCGGTGCTTATTCTCATTCCAGACAGACCGAAAAGCAAGGAAGACACGCATTGCATCTTGAAAATTGAGTTTATTTAAGGACCTGAGAATTGAAATAAACATACGTATGAATATTTCAATTTATTTTTATTATTTAAAATTCCTCATAAAACTATATCGAAAACCTTTTTGATATAAAAAGGTTGAAGGAATTGTGTTATTAATTAAAGTATATTAAACTTTTATTAATATAATTTAATATATGAAATTACTAAAATACAAGAAAAGCTATATTTCAAAAATATTATTTAATATTTACTTTTTCATATAGTTTGATATCAGTGCCTTTCAAGTTAACAATTTTTTTTATATAGGATTGAGGGCCAAAACATTTTATCCTTGGAACTTGATAAATGCCAGGACCAACTCTATATCTCTATACACTATACCCATTATCGAAAGCATGTGACGGACCTAATGCTAGGAAGATGGACACTGACGGGACCATTTAGGACCATGGGATGTGAGTGCATGAGGCACTAGTGGGAAGACTAGATAGTATATGAAGTCTTTTTTAAAAAACTACTCGCCTTTTTAAAGTGATGTTTGCCAAACAATTTTTTTTTTTTTGCCAAACAATATTACTGTGGCACTAGATAGTTTTTGTTGTATTATGTTGTTTAAGAAGCGTTCCACAAGTCTATTGATACTGTTATCACCAGAGAAGAAATTTTTTTTTTTTTTTTTGAAACTGAGAATATAAATTACTCATTTCTTCTTACAAATATGTTCGAGGAGTTGGACGCTCTAATACTGTATAGTGTATAATGACTTCTGGCGTAAGAAAGTTTTCTTTTATGCTTTTGTCAAAATATTTTAATTAATTATGGACTTTCGTGATTTAAAACAATTTTGTTAAGATGTTTAATTTTGAGAAGTGAATAAAAGTATCTAAAGATGAAGTTTTTATTGTCAAAATCTAAAGATGAAAATATGAGTTGTAAATTGGTAGAGAAAACAAGGCGACCAGGTGTAACAGTTTCCTCCGATTAAGATGAAAATATCTGTATTTTTATATGATATATGATTTAATTTAAACAAAAAATATATATATATATATTCATTTGACTTTTTTTAAAAAAAATGAATTTATATTGTAAGATTTTATATTCATATGATTTTATAAATATTGGTATTTGGTTATAACAAACATTTCCAATCATTGATCATAATTTTTTGTAAATGAGATTTTTAACAGTTTTAACAGTTTATAGTCTTTAAAAAAGATTTAAAATACAATTTATATGAAAAATTGATTTTAATGATATAAAATTAAAAAAAATTTAGAGGTTTATGCAAATTATTATTAACATACTGTAGAATAACATTTTCTTTAAAGCTTTTCAACCAATTAATATGAATACGAAAAACAGTTTTGCTAAAACTCGAGTAGTTTTTTTAAAACTTATTTCGGATCTAAAACTTTAAAAAATTCAAAGATGTTCATATTATTCCTAATAAAAAGATTCGATAACATATTGTTTCATTAACAAATCTTTATTATTAAAATAATTTGATAGATTGTTTTGATAACATATTGTTTCATAATTTAAGGAAAACTGAATTATATTTTTATAGATCACTAATTAATTCTATAAGTAATTTAATAAAAGGTAATATATATTTAGATGAATTAACTTATTTATCTAGGATTCTAAAATTGTTTTAGCGCTGATACATCGTACATGGCATATAATTCAGATGTTATTTAAAGGCAAATTTCGAAATAATTATTTACCTTCTTGCTTTTTTATACATGACATTTTCTCCGGTCTTCGTTTCTTTTTCAGTCGGGGTCACGTTTTTCCTTTATCTTTTTAAATGATTTTCTTCGATTTCATACCTTTTTTGTTTGCATCTCTATTTTTTTTTTTAAGATGATGAAGTCTCGTGATAAAGTAGGATGCTTAAAACTACGTCACTTTTCTTAGGATCCCTTCTTCTTCCTCTTTTTTACCAATATGAAGTCAATCATATCTTCTTTGTTTGCTCTCTCTTTGCTTTCACTATCATCAGCACATGCTCAATGCCATTTCCCAGCAATCTTCAACTTCGGCGACTCTAACTCCGACACCGGCGGCCTCTCCGCTGCTTTTGGCCAGGCTGGTCCTCCTCACGGCTCTTCCTTCTTCGGCTCACCTGCTGGGAGGTACTGTGACGGTCGCCTTGTCATTGACTTCATAGGTAAATCTATTAGTTAATACTCTTCTCAAACGTATGCGTTTACGTTTTAGTGACTTGTCTTCATTTCTTGACGCAGCTGAGAGTTTTGGATTGCCATATCTAAGTGCGTTTCTAGACTCGGTTGGTTCAAACTTCAGCCACGGTGCTAACTTTGCGACGGCTGGATCTCCCATAAGAGCTCTCAACTCCACTCTTCGTCAAAGTGGTTTCAGTCCATTTTCACTTGATGTTCAGTTCGTACAGTTCTCCAATTTTCACAACAGATCCCAGACAGTTCGCAGTCGCGGTACGAGACTCTTACTCACTCACTCACTGTATCGTTGAGATATGATAGAGATAATGTGTTTGACTTTGTATGTTAGAATAAGGAATGTGTATTCGAATATCCTCACGAATTTGGATCAGTTTATTCGAGTTGAAAGTATTTTGAACTAGAAACCTAAGATTAGTTTAGATATTCATTTTTCTTGGGTCGGATTCGGTTCAATTCCACCCTGATTGGGATGAGTTTGGATAATTTATTTGGGATTGGTTTTTTATAATAATGGATAGAATTCAGTTCAGATATTTTGTAGCTAAACTACCCAAATTTATCGGTTCCATTCCACCTTGATTCAGATTAGTTTGGATAATTTTATAATAATGGATACAATTTGGTTCAGATATTTTATAGCTAAACTACCCAAATTTTTTGGTTCAATTCCACCCTGATGGATGAGTTTGGATAATTTATTTGGGATTCAGTTTTTATAATAATGGATACAATTAGGTTCACATATTTTGTAGCTAAACTACCCAAATTTATCAGAAAATGTTCCAAAGTGCCTTAAAAATCTCATTACATACCGTTTAGATTGGTTGTTTTTAACTACTTTGTGCTAACAAGCTAGTGTTAGAGAAATAAAGTTTTTTTAGACACCGTAGTATACAGTGGAATAATATTTCAAAAACGTCAAGACTTTATACACGTTTTGATAGTGTTTCCATATTATTCATCACCAAGTCAAAATGTAACAGGAGGAGTTTATAAGACGATGCTGCCTGAAGCCGACAGTTTCTCACAGGCATTGTACACTTTTGACATTGGACAAAACGATCTCACTGCTGGTTACTTCGCCAATAAAACCGTGGAACAAATTGGAACTACCGATGTTCCTGAGATCATTAGCCAGTTCAAGAATACTCTCACAGTTAGCCTCTCTGTTTTATACTCTGTTCCTATGAATGCATTTGCTTAAAGGTATCATAAATATGTTTTTTTAATATTTTTTGGTGACAGTATATTTACGCACAAGGAGGGAGATACTTTTGGATTCACAATACAGGACCTATCGGTTGTTTAGCGTATGTGATCGAATGGTTTCCGCTTAAAGCATCAGAGTTTGACTCACACGGATGTGCCTCTTCCTTGAACCATTTGGCTCAAAAATTCAATGACGCCTTGAAACAAGCAGTGATAGAGCTTAGAGCGTCCTTGTCTGAAGCCGCCATAACTTACGTAGATGTCTACTCTGCTAAGCATGAGTTGTTTGTTCACGCACAAGGTCACGGGTTCAAGAGATCATTGGTTTCATGTTGCGGTCATGGAGGTAAGTACAACTACAACAAGAACATTGGATGTGGGAAGAAGGTTACTGTGAAAGGCAAAGAGATTTACATTGGGAAGCCGTGCGATGAGCCTGGCAAGGCTGTGATATGGGACGGTGTGCACTTCACGCAGGCTGCTAACAAATTTATATTTGAGAAGATTTCACCCGGGTTGAGCATGGCCTGTCATAGGCAGTGACAAAAACAAAAAGAAGAGAAAAGCTCTGCTTCTTTTAATGAATTTGTTTTTATAATTTCTTGGACTCATGTGATTTGGCTCTCACTGATATGAGCTTATTGAGAATGCAGTAAGATTTTTGGTGAGAAAGGTTTCATCATTATCAACAAAAATTTACATAATCAATCATCACTACAAAGGATGTAAAACATCATAGAATACAACCGAATACAATCATTATTTATATGGAGGATGATCGAATAAAACTACATATCCTAAACTAACATCCTATAACATACCAATAAGTTTATATAACAATATTGATCACAAAACAAAGAATGTCATTTTAACATTTTTTCTTCGGTATAAAAAACAAACTTATATTATAAAGAAAAGTAGAAATGGATTGAAGTAGTTTTTCATATATACTACTATAGAAGTAATTAAATAGATGAGTTGGAAACAACATTTTAATTCCTAGTGAGATTTTGATTAAAAACAAAAACAAAAAATCTTAATAATTAAATCTAAAGAGATAAACTGGCTATAATGGAGAGTTAGGTCTGGGTTTCGAGTGATGGATCAATATTAAAAGATGCAAGAGTGTTTTAGTGTATGTTTTGTTTAATATGGTCTCCAGGTCATGTGTCACCATATGTTCTATAAATTTAGAGTTTCCATGTTTTCAAGCACTTTTTATGCTTGGACTATTTCTGTTAGATAATAAACAAAGATTGAGCCTATCAAAATACTGCTATACTATATTTTACTATTTTAATAAAACTTAAATATTGGTGTTCTATTAGTGTTTATGGAGTTTTAAAGCTTGTACAAGTTATTGGAGGTTAAAGAATTTTGGACATTTGACAGTTTTCATGCATTGGAAACCTGGATGAGATGGAGGGTTTCCCATGATTCAATCATGAATCATGCTTAAACTTGAACACAAGATAACTGAAGATGCTAGCTTTTACTCTAAATGTTTTAGGCAGACCCGGCTCACCTTATAGCATGATATATAAATAAAATCTTCTCATATAACTAGATTTGGATCTGGAAGAGGATCGGAGTTTTAATCTTAGGATTATTGTAAGCCCCAACCGCCCACGGCTAATGGGCCATCCACGCCCGCTCTCTTGGCCCGTGGGTCCCATCCCGTTCCAACGGTCGGTCCGTTAATTTTCTAAGGCTCTAGAGTTACGTTTACTAACCCTGTAATCACCACATGAAATTTTCTCGTGCTTTGGCCTCACTTACACGGTATCGCAAATCACTTCCCAATAGTTCACCCATCATTTGACTACTCCAGCTCAAGCACGCTTAACTCTGGAGTTCTCTCTGGATGTGCTCTCGAAAAGGTAAGTGCACTTTGGGGACATAGGTAGCCAAATCAATCCTCTTAAACCTTTCCATATATCACAACTCGGGATGTTACAATTCACCCCTCTCAAAGAACGCAACGTCCTCGTTGCGTCCCACGACAGGTCTCAAGACGCCTCTCAGGTCAGAACTGAGATGACTAACCAGCTCTGATACCACTTGTAACGCCCCGATCGCCCACGACTAATGGGCCACCCACGCCCATTCTCTCGGTCCATGGGCCCATCCCGTTCCAACAGCCGGTCCGTTAATTTTCTAAGGCTCTAGAGTTATGTTTACTGACCTTACAATCACCACATGACCTTTCCCCGTGCTTTGGTCTCACTTACACGGTATCACAAATCACTTCCCGATAGGTCACCCATCCTTTGACTACTCCAGCTCAAGCACGCTCAACTCTGGAGTTCTCTCTGGATGTGCTAACGAAAAAGTAAGTGTACTTTGGTGACATAGATAGCCAGATCAGTTCTCTTAAACTTTTCCATATATCACAACTCGGGATGTTACAATTATCCCATCACCATCTATGTTATTAACGAAAAGGTGGTTGTCCTCAAACTCAAAACTATAGATTTGCAAAATAAAGAAACACAAACTTTCAATTTATGTTCCAGAGCACTTTACAAAAACATTCTAAAGTAACGCACCAACAACATTTCATATCGTAAAATCATAACCCAAAGGAAGCAGCGAAACGGAGTAATCACGATGAGCCTTAGAAGAAGATTCCAAGTAACCTCTCCCATTAACATAACCAAACAAAAGACTACGCTGATGCGTTACTGTTCTGTCTCCTTCCCTGTGCGCCACGTCAGCATCACCAACAAGAGCCTTGGTCCGTTTTTGCATACTCATCAAAACGTTATGCCACGTGTTAACCCTCGACTGGACCTTTCCGTGAACCCCAACGTTCATCTCCGACAAGTCCTCCCCTCTCACGCCCATCACTTCCTCTGGCTTCGCACCGTCGAGGATCCAAATAAGACAAGAACAGAACCCTTTGGAGATCTCTGAATCGCTGTCTGCTTTAAACCTCATCCTACCTAACTCGTCCATCTTGATCTCTAACCAAACCTGAGTCGTGCATCCCGTGACTCGGTTCTCGGGAACACGAGCCGAGTCGTCGAAGGGAGCTAAAGCCGTTGCGTAGTTCAAGAGACGTTTAACTCGGTCGATGGGTTCGGTTAAGGACCGGAACTCGGACACGAGGAGGTGAAGCTTGTCGGCCGTGGTTGTTGTTCGGAAGGGAGCTTCAACGGAAGCTGTCGCGAAAGAGACAGGGAAGTCATGTTTTGGATTCTGTTTCGAAACGAAGTTGAGATTGATCCTTTTGGGGAGCTTGGGAGAAAAGTTAGGGCTATGGAAAGGTTTTAAAGATGGTGTTGAGGTAGAAATTATTAGAGGAGGAGAAGAAAGGATGTTTAACGACGATGAGTTCATGTTGGGGTACAAAGGTAAGAGGAAGACGAGGGAGAGAGAGATATTTAAGGATGATCAGAGGAAAGCTCCTTAAAGTACGCGACGAAGAGAAGACGGCGATTAGAAAGTATTCTCTTTATAACGCGCCAAAACAAGTGTTTTTGTAATATTTTTTTTTTAATACAGTATTTGGTTTGTAGATGTGTTAGAAATAATTATGGTGAATTATTTAAAATAATAATCTATTTTTAAGTTTTGATTATTTTTGTTTAACGATTTTCATATTGCAAAAACTTATTTTCAGAAGCTATGATGGTGATTAGAAATCTATTTGAGGTTTCTGTAGGAGCATTTGGGTTTTTCACAAACTAATATAATAGAATAATAGTAAAATATTAATTAGATATCTGAAATTTAGAGGTGCTCTAACTAGTCAAAAGTTCGAAACGATTGTTCTTTCTCTGTTTCTATTAAAACATTTATCCTGTTTTTGTTAGACATAAAAATTGATTCACTATTTTGAAATTAGACTTTCTAAAAGTTGTTTTGACATTTGTTTTTACTTCATTTGAAATCATTTTATAAATCTAAGATTCTTTTCAATTTTTTTTTATAAAATATACTTTTATAATCTGAAATTAAATGCTTAATACAAAACTGTTCATGTGTGATTGACTTTTTTATATACAATCAAATATATATATATATATATAAAATGAAAATGTAAAAAGAAAATTAAAAGTTAAGTAGTTAAGTACTTTTTTTTTTGGACAGCCGTTCGTTGTAAAAAAAAATAGTCAAGTAGTATCAGGTAATAGAAATTTAAAATTATGATGCTAGTTAGAAGGAGAACAAGAAATAAAGTGTGATGCTAGTCAAAGGGATATAATTTTACTATTATTTTACAATTTTCTTAATTGTTATTGTGATGAATTATTATTAACTGGATTCAAAAAAAATAATTAGTTAAAAATCTAAATTATCTTCTTGTTCTGTTTTTTTTTTTTTTTGACAAAGGGTTCTTCTTGTTCCCCTTGTTCTTTACTTTTGTTTGCCACTAGTCCATCCGCATTGTGCATTTCACCAGATTTTGTTTTTTTTTTCTATTTTTCAACAAAAATATTTTAGTTACTCACAAAAAGAATTTATTTTTTTGGTATAATATTTACAAAAAGAAAGCTTGGCTTGCAGAAACTATTTTTTTCTTTTAAGAAAATTAAACTAAGGGAATAACCTGTCGAATTGAGAAAAATGTTCTCAGAATCTGATAAACCATCGAGATAAAATATGACAATGATTTTTTTTCTACATCTTCGAGAGTTGGGGTCGACCCCAAATTTTTTTTTTTTTGCCAAACGGACCCCTAATAGATCTTGAACGAAAAGAAAATAAACTTGCATTGCTTGATTATACTTGGATGCTTATTTATAAATGAGTATGGTATAGTGTGATTAAGTGTATTAAATTACTAACGCTCCATAGGTCTGTCGGTTAATCTATAACGTTTAAAAATGTTATCATATGGAGTAGTTAGCTAGTAAGTTGTATTGTACATTCCATTTGGTTTACAAATATAATAGACCGAGTATTTTAATAAAATAAATTATAGCAACACCTATCTTTCATCTTGTTTATAAATAATGTTACCATATAACATAAGTTTAACACCATAGATTCGTTGAGTTCAAAGAAAACGTTATAACTTATACTCACATAAACATAATTCTCTACAAAGATTCTTCAACTTTCATTTTTAACAGTGAAAAGTAAAAGAACCTTTTGTTGTAATATGAACCACTTCTTATATATATAGTGCAATATGATTATGAAACTGTAAAAAAGATTAGTTGGAGACTGAGAGTTATATACTTATATTTACAAAATATTATGCAGAGACCTATATAATCTATATATTATTTTTTATAGAAAATATATCGTATGTACATAGATTATGTAGAAAATCGTTTGAAGGTTGTCTGTTTTGCTTTGTGTAAGAAGATGACTACTGATCTGCTATTTCGTTATCTCATTATTTCTTTTCAGTATATAGCTGAGTTTTACTTTTATGTTTTGCTGATCAATAAAATTGACATTCTGATTTCTGACTAGAAATAAAATACCATATTTATACAGGAATGAGTTTGGATTTGTGGAGTGATATTTTGTTTTTATAATGGAATTATTTAGAAGAGTGGGTTAGTGTGAGTTCAGTCGATGATTCAATCACGACCTAGTCAACTGAAGAACCGAATTTCAAAGAGAGCGGCTATGTATTATTACGACTTAACAAAATAGATTGCAAAACAAAGTACGAAATGTTTTGGATCATTTGATGTTATGGAGAAGATACGCTGAACAAAGTTTGAGGCCGCCTCTAGAGTGACGAATCTAAAATGGGACGATAGAGGTGCGTGCATATATCGCTCTCTTTTCCACAATAACTGTTTTAGTTTCTCATAAATCAATTCTGAGAAAAATCAAAAGCATATTCGATTCGACTACTGATTCTTTGGAGCCCATAATGTCGGAAAGTTGACTTGGGAGACCATTTAAATAATTCAAAGTTGTTTTTCTTTCGTCACAGCTGACGGTTACTCTGGAGTGTCCCAGCTATAAACAGTTTTCTTCTTTCTTGAACTCCATTGTGTATGTTTTAACATTCGCATCGGCTTGTATATTATGTGTTCAAATTATAAAAAGAAACTGAAATATGACTTCTAACAGTAGTTGGTTTTGATTGGTGTCATTTGGAGGGGATGGTAAAATCTGTTACTACCATGTAACCAACCACCATGGTAAAAAATATTGTAGAAATAATGGAGTTGGATCTTTTTAGTTAATTTTTTTTGTTTGATATATAATCAGACCCGGTCCGGAGCACAAGAAGCCGGCCATTTAGGACATCCCAAAACATTCTGATCTTTTACAAAACTTTAATTATATATAAGTCATCATAAAAGGAAATTATATGTAGAATGAGGACATACATTTGCATTTTAGAATAGGACATTACATGTTTTTTCCAAAAGTTTGACTGGCCTTGTATATAATTTAATTTTCCTACAAAGTATGTAGTTGGTTTTACCAAAAAAAAATATGTTGGTGGTACCACTTTTATTTTATAAGTAGGTGGTACCAACTTTATTTGTTTAATAATTATGAGTTTAACAAAAAAATCTGAGTTTTCGTTTACTCCGGTAGGCCTGGGTAATCGGTGGGCCAATCGGCTTTCGGTTTGCATACAATCGGATTTTAGGTTTTCGGGTTTACGAAAATCAACCCCATTCGGATATTATAAAAGTTCAGTCCGATATCGGTTCAGATTTTATCGGATTCGGTTCGGATTTTGTAATTTTGGCTAAACCCGGTTGAATCCGAAATATTTACGGGTTTCGGTTCTTAAACGGTTGTTCGGTTCTTAAGCACTAACTTGTACTGGGTTTGACTAAAACAAAGAATGATGATCAGCAAAAAAAAATCTACTAATGGTGTTGTTAGTTAAGTGTCGCATGACGATCTGGTTTAGCTGTGAATTGTATTACACTAACAAAACAAACATTTGATTCTTTTACATCTTTTTGACGTTTTGTTGGGTCTTCTAATTTCATAGTTACATATATGCCGATCAATTTAACCTAGTTATTAACAAGTTGAGCTAAACTTAACACAAAAAATACTATCTAAATCTAAAGACTTTTGATTAAACAATACGGAGAACACAAATGTGAAAGATAAAAGAAGCTAGGATTAGACATAGGGTTGTGTCTCGATCGGGTTTCAGATGTAATCAATTGGTGGTCGGATTTTAAACCGATCCGAACCGGCATCCATTATAACTCAAAACAGGAACCGTCTGGTTTATTAAGAAGATCCGAAACTGACCCATACCGACTTTATCGAACCGGGCTCCAATCGGTTGATCGGTTCTCGGATATATTGCCCAGGCGTACTCCGGTCGCTCGTAGAAGACAAGAAAACATGCTCATTAGTTGGGTCTGGAATGTCGGCTTTCTTTATTGGGCTCGGTTCTTACATTCTTTTAGCTCCAATATGGTTTGGTTTCATTTGAAAAAGCCTATGGGCTATGGCCCAGACCCATCGGTTAAATGAATATCAGACTTTTATCAAAAAAAAAACATCACTTATTTTTCCTGAAATAGGTACCTATATAATTGGCACTAATGTATGTGATCAAAAATAATATCTTCCATCTACTGAAATCAACTTCACAAAAACAGAAAAAAAAAAAAATCATTTGACGGATTCAATTGCATTTTGCAGGTAAACATCAACCTCTCTCGATTAGTTTAAACCCTAATGGAAATTTCCAAAGCAATTGATTGAATCAGTCAAATCTAATGTAGTTTCTTGTAATTTTCCGAACTGCGTTAATTTACTATTTCTCGCCGGAAAATCTCTCATCAGAGTTTCCTTGTAGTTCACGGCGATCCTAATAGTCCTCCTTGAAAGCAACTGTATGATAATAATAATAATATTACTTTATTTTTTTTAATGTAACCACTGAGAAATTTACAGATTCAGACAGATGTGAAAGGATAAGACTTTTGATGGAAAATAAACAAAACTAAGACTGGTCTAAGTCAATAAACTCTAGTCTATATATATATTTCTGTCTGAATCATTCATAAAGTAGGGCACTTTCTTGTTGGGTTTGTCTGAATCATTGACTTATGCTTCTTGAAGTGTTGCAGGCGATTGTGTTGTTCATCTTGTTCTGGATTTGGTTGTCTGTGATGGGAGGAAGCAGCTCTAAAGACTCGCCAAGAGGCAGCAGAAGCAGTAGGAGGTATCCAGGTAGCCCTTCTGCGAGCTCCTCGTCTGCTTATTCTTGGGGGCATCATGGAGACCAGAACGGCTCTTATCGCACACCAAGCCATCCATCTGCAAGCCCTGCACCTTCCTATAGTAATAATAATCCTCGATGGCAAACTCAGAAGGTTCTTGAGAGGAAGTATTCACGGATTGGTGATAACTACCGCTCCATTGATGAGGTTTGAATTACAGATCATCACTTTCTTTTGTGTGAGTTTTTGTTTTGATTTTGTTTATGTCAACAGGTTACTGCTGCTCTTTCACATGCTGGTTTGGAGTCCTCGAATCTGATTGTTGGTATTGATGTCACCAAGAGCAACGAGTGGACAGGTTAGAGAAGTTGTTATTATCTCTATGTATAGCCAATGTCTGAAGTAAATGCTGACTCTGATTTGATTTTAGGGGCGAGATCATTTGGTAGGAAGAGCCTGCATTACATTGGAACTACTCCAAACCCTTACCAGCAAGCTATTTCCATCATTGGAAAGACTTTATCGGTTTTTGATGAAGATAACTTGATCCCATGTTATGGATTCGGAGATGGTAATAACCTCAAAGAACTGTTAAGTTTGTTGGTTAGTCTGTGATTATAGATTTTTAAGGTTGGTTTTTTGACTATGCAGCTACAACACATGACCAGGATGTCTTTAGTTTCAATTCCAATGATACTTTCTGTAACGGGTTTGAAGAAGTTCTCATGTGTTACAGAGATATTGTCCCCCAGCTACGCCTTGCAGGTTTGAATGAGATTAAGGGTTCCTTTTCCTCTGCTTATGTTCTTACCCTTGCTCTACGTTTTTGGTGATATTATCCTGGTTATGTAACAGGTCCAACATCTTTTGCACCTATTATCGAAAGGGCAATGACTATTGTGGAAGAAAGTGGAGGCCAGTACCATGTTCTTCTCATAATCGCTGATGGACAGGTAATGAACGCTGTATTGTAACCATATTTTGAGTTTCAGTTATAAACATTCTAAGAACGGTTTTTATGGTGTTAGGTGACAAGAAGTGTTGATACAGAGAATGGGGCAGTCAGTCCACAAGAGCAGCAGACCATTGACGCCATTGTTAGAGCAAGGTAATTAAAATACCATTTCTCCATTCTCTTGTTGGTCTCTGCTTTGTTTCTAAACTGTGATGGATTCATCTTTGCAGTGAGTATCCATTGTCGATAGTTCTTGTTGGTGTCGGAGATGGCCCTTGGGACACTATGAGACAGTTTGATGACAACATCCCCGCTCGTGCCTTTGACAACTTTCAGGTAATAACAGTGTATATTTGTGTCTTGTCCTTGCAAATGAATCAACTGAAGAGTTTTTTTTCATTAATATGAATCCTCCAGTTTGTGAATTTCACGGATATAATGTCAAAGAACGTTGATCCAGCAAGAAAAGAGGCAGAGTTTGCTCTATCCGCGTTGATGGAGATCCCATCTCAGTACAAAGCCACCCTTGAGCTAGGCTTACTAGGGTGAGTAGTTTCAGATTTTTATAACTTCTCAACAGCAGCTGAGCCATTTGAGCTGATATAAATCTCTTCCCTTTGTTTCAAATTTGCAGAAGAAGAACTGGAAACTGTCCAAACAGGTTTGCACTTCCACCACCAACTTATGCTACTCAGTCCATGCGCAACAGCCCAAGAACTTCTCGATCAACCAGCTTTCAGACCAGAACACCACAACCATATGATAATGGTGTTGCCGCCACTGCACCAATTCCAAATGCTCGTAATGATGAAAAGATTTGTCCGATATGTCTAGTGATACCAAAGAACATGGCTTTCAATTGTGGTCATCAGGTGCATTTCCAGTCTATATAACTTTAAGGATTGCACTTCAAACAAAACCATTAATTTTCTTGTGTTTTTTTTATTACAGACTTGTTCAGATTGTGGGGAAGACCTCCATGTTTGTCCCATTTGCCGAAGCTCAATCTCGGTTCGTATCAAGCTTTATTAAGATAACTCTCTCAGGAGCTGAAAGGGAGGTGATCTGACATCTTTCAGAGCACATCTTGAGTGATTTTTCGAACTAGTTCTCATCAATTGTGGTGGAGATATGACCATTTGTTTCTACTTTGTCTATAATTTTTCAGTTTTGCATTCTCATTGCACATGAAAAACACACAGTAGGGCGAGAGATGTAAGTAAAATAAAGGATCTTTGATTCTGTTACAACAGACTCGTGTTATCAGATTTTGTTTATAAGAATTCAATCTTTCTTTTTTGAAGAGTCTTATTGAATGTTCTTTTCCCATGATGTATGTACACATGTCTCAGACAACATCTATACCTTTCTTGTCTGAAATCTATAGTCTTCAACACAGGAGCCGTAACTGAACCTGATTCACTGTACTAATTGACATCTTATGGGTCCTGTTAATGAACTTTGGACCAAAATGGTTCAAGGGTATATCACTATGCCATAAGCTTTGATCATAGAGAGTACAAAGCCCACTTCAATGCCTCGTACAAGACCGTCTTTTACTTTTATTCGTATACGCTTCACTGTTCATTGTGTATGAAGCTAAGATATACTTTCCCCTGAACACAAGTCTTTCTTTTTAAGAATGCTACTTGTCCTGAGAATCAATCATTTACTTACTGTACCATGAACGCGACTTGGTTAGAGAATGAACCAATTTTCAGGCTTACAATGATGGTTAGTAATCTAGAGTGATTGCTCTTCATCAAGAAAAGTGTTGCCACAGTAAAAAAGAAAGGACGATTTATAATGGAAAAGATAAAGTTACTGTTTCCATATCTCTGTACAAGATTCCTGTCAGATTGTTGAACAATCTTCAGTTTCAGAGACCCTACTTATATCTTGATCACGCAAACCAAGAGACAAGACATCAACACAATCATTACCATGGACTCCACAAGAAGCATCTCTGCTTTGAACGAAGATATCATAGTTGAGCAGCTACTTCGTACCCATGATCCAGACGGTCGCTGGATTGATTCCGAAATGCTGCTTCAAGAAGTTGAAGCCATCTTGAGCTTTGTTCTGGAAAGTGATGTGAGGCTCTCTACCCCTTTGGCTTGTTCTAGTCTTCAGATACTTGTCTAGATGCATGCTAATAACAAATACCACTTAATTTCAGGTTTCTAAGCTGCTTCTGACAGAGAATTGTATGACTTACATTGAAGTTTTTGAATCAAAGGAAACACTAGCATACGCTATCTCCAGAATCTCCGTTGAGGTAACAGATCATCCCTTCCATCTCAAACCAATTCAAAAATGCCTGGGAAAGGAAATCTTGAAACTCTTAAGGTTGCAGATGCTTTGTCCATGCATGGGGGAAAGTGAGATCCATTCAAGAACAATGGTTTTGTTTGATCTTCTGAAAGAATACAGATGGGATGCAAAACCTGTGTTAGTGCTTGGAGCCCTTGCTGCAACATATGGAAGACTACTCCTACCAATTCATCTAGCCTTCAGTGATCCGGTCGCAGCATCAATTGCAACACTCAACCAGTTGCCTATCGAGAGAACCAAGTTCAGACCATGGTTAAACTCTCTAAGCTTGCTCATTAAAATCCTGGTGGACGTATCCAAATGCATCATTGAGTTTGAAAGACTTCCATTCAAACAAGCGAAGCTAGACAGCAACATTGTGGGAGAAACCATGTCTAACATCCGTCTGGCTACTTACTGGGTCGTCAAAAGTGCACTTGCATGCCTGCAGCAGATCCCTTATTTCAAGCAGCCCCAACAGGTACATTTTCTAACACTTCTTTTTGTTTCAAGAAGCCATAACAGGTGCAGATCCTGTCATAAAGAAACTGTTCCTGTCATATTAACATACCAACATTGAGTTTTCTCATGGCTAGGAATTCTCTGAAATACTCAGGCAACCGAATCAAGGAGAGCTGCAGGGGAGCTTTCGAGTTTGGGATATCAGTTGCGCAGCATGCATACCCGTCTCAGCAAGCAAGTTGAAGAATGCAGTACACAAATAGGTAAGCTTCAAATGTTCTGATGTTAAGTTCCAAAAGCACATCTTCTGATGTGCCTTCTCTGTTTACATGTCTAAAGAGGAAACAATCTATCAAAGGCTTAGAAACATTAACACGGAGACTCATCAAGACAACCAAGAGGTACTGCAACTACTTTTTTCCATACAAGATGATTTGCTTCTTCAACAATACTCCAGACAGGTATAAAGAACCATCCTTTTTCTTTTTACCATGTTGCTTCTTTTGGATTTTTTGGTCTATTCTCTTTACTTTAAATCCTTAAAAAATTCCACCCTTACTACATATACCTCATCATTCAGTATGACGCTACATATATACCATTCATGAACAGTTGTACTACCTTTTAAACGTTAACTAAACCAATATTTTTTATCATCCAATGGCAGATAGATATAACTGACCTGAAAGAAAAGGTAATACTGCTCCTATTATCAAAGCCAGAACCCTTACCCACAGACCCATTCCACTTCCTACTTCAACAGCTATACGATCATCCATCCAACACCAACACAGAACAAAACTACGAAATCTTATGGATTCCAATACCAACGTCCGAAAAATGGACAGAACAAGAGAAGGAAACCTTCAAATTCTCCTCCAACTCCCTACCATGCATCTCAGTAAGTCGGCCATGGTTGATGACCCCCACAGTAATGAACTTCTTAAGAACAGAATGGCCATACCGAGACGGCGAGACAATGATGGTGGTGATGGATCCCAACGGGAAGATTGTGAACATGAACGCCATGGATATGGTGCTGATTTGGGGTGTTAAAGCATTCCCATTTACAGTTCCCAGAGAAGATGAGCTCTGGGAAGAGGATGAAACATGGTCCTTGCAGCTAATCCTTGATGGCTTCAACACATGGGTACTTTCAAAATTACTCTTCTACTGTTATAAAGTAACATTCTTTCAATCAGATTCTGAAACTAATTAATTCTCACAGGTGAAGCAAGGGAGAGAGTTCTGTTTATTAGGAAGCGAATATTCCAATTGGTTGGATGAAATCAAGTCATTAGCACTAAAACTTCAAAACCTAGGGTTCGAGTTTGAGCTAATTGACCTAAGTAAACAAACATTAGCCTCTAGGGAAGAGAGATCAATTCAAGAGCTCTTCTGGCTACGATTAGAATCAATCAAACGATCGAAACTCAGACGAATCGAATCATCGAAACGCGATCGCGTTTTTCAAGAAGTTACAGAGCTAATTGAGTTCGATTACAATACACACAAGGGCTGGGCAGTTATCGGAAATGGATCAACGGCGGAGACGGTGAAGATCGTCGGAGTTGAGGTGAAGGAGAGGATGAGGCGGATCTTGCGGTGGGGAGAGGACGCGGCGGGGATGAGTTTCACGGAGGCGATTCGAGTCGCGGAGGAGGAGCCGTGTGGAGAGAGTAGTCACACGGTGGTGGTGGTTCCGTTTGAGGAAGGTAAGGGAGTTGTCACGTGCGAGAAATGCAAAAGGCCCATGAAGAAGTTTGTTGCCTATCAGTAAAGGCCCGTTGCTATAACACTAATATGGTTTCATAAATAATCTCTAATCTTTTGCTTTGTTTTCCAACAAATAAAGAAAATCTGATTCTAATTCTCTGTTTTTTTTTGTCTATCTAATAATGTGATTTGGAATTTTAATACAGATCAGTTCAAAACGTTTGATTGAAAATGATGGTTGTGAATAATGTTTGTTATATTGTGTTGTGTAATTGAATATGAAAACAACTTATATAGGCATAAAACATAATCTAATAGCATAATTAAAGATAAGTATTATTATGAGAATAATATATGGGATTTGATATAGCACTTTTACTTTACCAGAAAAATAGGTTTAGACTTTGAATGGTAACAAAAAAAATAAAGAGAAATATTTAATTCCTAATCGTTTCCATAAAGTTACATCATTTATAAAAAATGTTGTTTTTTATTTTTTCATTCCTTCTATAAATTACAAAAAATAATATTAATTCTTCATTAAATTTTGGAATGAATAACCCTTCATTTTTATTTCTTTTATTTTGTTTATATTCGTTTTTTCATTTCGTTTTAAATGTTTTTACGATGATTACCAACATTATCCTAGTTGCTAGTGATTAATTAGGTCTGTTGCTACGAAAGATATTACGAAATAAGACCAATTAGTTTATTTCATCACATTTCAAAACAGTTTCTTTCTGTTTGCAAGATACTCTCGAGAATATTCTAATTCACTTTTTCTGTATCTGCATATAAACCGCTCCTAGATAAGCAAACATTTGCCGACATATCAAAAATTTAGGAGCTAGTAACATGAACGATAGTCCATAAATTGTTCAAAACGAAAAGGATAAAAAATTATAAAAATTCTAACTAGATATAAACTTTGATGCTCTATATATAATATAAATTTTCATGACATAATAGGAGTTAAACACTGAAAAAGATAAATACAAGCTGGGTATGAATAGTTATTTTAAATCATTGTTTAGAAATTCTAACCAGTTTATTGATAGACAATTATTGCTTAAAAGTTTTAGAAACCCACAAAGACCATAACAGGAAAGCAAAAAAAAAAAAAAACAACAAAGTAAACAAGATATATAAAAAGTTCCAACTCATCCAAACGTGCCTTGACACTTGAATGAACCACAATGACAAGTCTTCTTGCCTTTGAAAATTGTCCTCCCATCTTCTCCAACCTCTTCACTTTTACAAGACATCCCATAATCATATCTCAGCTCAGTCAGTGGAGGTATATGTTTCATCGCAAAGAACGCAATACGAACACGCGGTTGACGAGAATCTTCAGATTCAATTGGCTGCCACAAAACATTTGGAGAGCAGCTATGGTTCATGAACCGGCTGACATTTCCATATACTCTTGAACTGATCAACACTTGCCAACGAAGCTTATAACCTTCAGGGACTTGGTCCCAACAATCTTCACCCACGAGCTCCGGCTCGTAGTTCCACTTGAACTGGCTATAAACTCGTGAAGAATTAAACACATACTCGTCATCCTCATCTACACCATGCATTCTCTTAGTCATACCCACCAATTCGCAAATAAAAGTCCCCGCTCGAATTGGCTCCAACGAACGTAACCCCCAACCACATTTCTCAGTCTTAAACACTTCAACACGAATTTTCATACCAGTTTGAGTTAACCTATTGCGACAGTAGAGAGGACAAGGACACATGTCGCCACATTCATAAACCACTGGCTTACGACAAACTAGAATACGGTTATGGTATGGTAACTCACCACCGTTCCTTTGAACACAAACGCACGTTGGATCTTCGCATAACCGACCTTGACAACTCATGCATGCGGTAGATTTATAGTTCTGAACAATCATCATACCTGAACAAGTCGAAGAGTTGACGTAGCTGAAATCTTGAGGCATCTCCTTGTCATTCTCATCGATATCATTCACCAGTGGGACTGGTAAAGTCTCGGCTCCATTTGAAATATCTTTAAGTATCAAACCGTTTCTTGAATTATCCATACGCTTCCTCCAGTTTACGTAACCATCCGGTTGGTCTGGTTTTCTCACCAATTTAAACTTGAACTCCTCGAAACCGGATTTTCCTTTAGCTATCCAAGAATCTGACACGATGTAAAGTCCATCATAGATATAAATCTTGTTACCCTTGTTGTTGGGATCCTCTTCACCTCTGATCACTCTAACTTCATTTCCTCTCGTTTTACTTTCTTTCAACGCCAAGTTTCCTCTTTCAAGTGTCTGATTCTTGTTCTTTCCACCATGTCCAGTATATATCAAAGTTTGAAAGTCATCCTCCGTTTCGTCATTGTAGCGTCCTGATGTTACTACACTTATAGCTAAAGGACCTTCCGTTGCACCTTCTTTGATAGTTAGATAGTCGATTCCGCCAAACAAATTCAAGTGTAGCCCAACTAAAGTCATCTCTCCCCAATAGTAAAAGATATCGCCTACTTCTACTCCAGGAACCGCGCCGATTCTTTTCTTGGTGTTGGTCTTAACACCTAAGTTCTTACAGTTATTGAGGGCGGTTGTAAGTGTTTCTTTTCCATACTTTAGCTGGCAAAGTCGACGCCTAACCGCATCAAACCGCATCAAAACTGAATCTGCTATCTCTTTGTTTCCCGTTTCTCTCTCAGCTTCGCTTATCTCCGAGTCAAAACTTGGGCAAGATGTAACCACTTTGCTGTTGGGATCATAAGGTTTCTGCATTTTTGCTGGCGTCTTTGAGTTCTTGTTCTTGGAACCTCGTGGCCGGCCACGTTTTCCTTTGATCACACCAGCACTAGGACCCTCATGATCAGCAGCAATGGAGTCTTCGTTGGCTTCATATGGTACAATGGCTTGAGTCAATGAGACCATTAGAGGAGGAGTAGGAGGTGGTGTGTTGTTAGTTTCATTATCAGCAGTTTGAAGCAAGGCGACCTCCAGAGTTGGAAGAGGTGTGTGGGTTTCAGCATCAATGGTTGGAAGGGGTGGGACTTCTAGGGTTGGAGGAGGTGTTTGGGTTTTGTGGGTTTCACCATCAATGGTTGCAAGGGGTGGGACTTGTAGAGTTGGAGGAAGTGTTTCGGTTTTGTGGGTTTCATCAACAACAGTTTGAAGAGGTTCGAACTCTAGAGCAAAAGGAGATGTTATGTTGAAGGTTATATCGTCATGGGTTTGAAGCGGTGGGACTATTGGAGTATGAAATGTTGTTGTGTTGAAGGGTTCATCGATGATGTCTTCAAAATCAAAGTATCGCAACGGTGAGCCCATTGGAGAAGATGACATGTTTTCAATATGATAGTTATCATCGTCAGATTCTACAATCCAAGGCCAACTAGTAGGACTCATGTCGCCCGCAAAAGAAAATCTTGTGGCTGTGGATAAAAAAAAAAGATAATATTAAAAAGTTAATAACCATCAATTTAATATAAAACATAACAAGAATTAAACAAAAATATATATATTAAAGACTATCATATGAATAAATTAATATATAGAGATGTTTTGAGAAGGCGGAAAATAAAATAAAAAAATGAAGAAAATTACATAATTAAATTAAAGCATATGTGGCGAATTGTAAAACCAAAAAAAAAATGAAGAAAATTGCATATATGAACAAAGAGTAGATAGACAAGAAAGAAAAAAAAAAAAGAGTAGACACAGAACTTGATGAAAACCTAGATGCAGTGATGTAGAGTATGCACATCAAATCTATTCCTTTTTAACCCAAATTTATATGCTTAAATAAAAACTTGCTTAAACCTAGGGTTGCCACATAAAATGAATGCTTCAGTATTTTCTTCATATGACCAACTCATCGACAAGAAATAAAAAAACAACGTTCTAAAACCAGTATGCAAGTCATAAGTCAAGAGTGAACCATATCTGAAACACCAGATTTCATTTAACAACACACATAAGTCCTATTAAAACATTACAATTTCAAAAAAGACACTTCGACTACCACTACCAATTATAGATTTTTTTTTTACTTAGAGAAAACTGAATCTTTGAAAGATCGTTTTATAAATTATAAACAAGATTAAAACTGGTTCTGTTTCCATTGCATTAATAGCTGCTTTAGAGAATGGATTATCATAGCAATATACAATCTAGATTAACCACACGAATAGAAATGACTTGAAATGATAAGTAGGGTAAAGAAAAACAGAAAAGGTTAGATTTTTGTTATTTATTAAACCACATAACGATATATTCATACCTGAATTGCAGTGAACGTCACTGTATTAAAAATAGTGTTTTTTCTTTTCACCTTCTTATTTTCAGTTTTGAAGATTAATATAAAATTTAAAACGACACCACATACAACCAGAATAACTTTTTAATATATTACTAAAATATTAAAATAAATTTAACCAGGGATATAACTAAAATAGATCACTAAATTTTAATCTAAAAAAATATGTGTATATATCAATTATAATCTGTATCAACAAAAGAAACACAAATAAGCATAAAAAAAGAGAAAAAAAAAATAATTAAGTCTCAGTCTAATGAACATAAACATGCGTAGGAAAGAAGCTCAACACCAACTAAACATTAAGTAAAAATAGCAAAACAATAGATTAACACATACCTTTAAATTGCAAAAACTAAGAACTATGTCCTTCAAAAGAAAAGAAGGAAAAGAGAGGAAGGTAGAACAAAAAAAAAAACTGAGGAAAATTACTGACAAAAATGGTTGCAGTAGCCGAATACAATGATCTTTGATATTTGATGGTGGTGAAGAATATAAAGAGAATGTCTCTATTTATAAGGATCTCAGTATGATGTGTTGATGTCTAAGAAACGAATACAGGCCTTTAGATCATGTTTGATTCATCTCCACCTTACACATATTAGCCATAAAATCCTGTAGATTTATTTCCTTTTATTAATTGTATTTAACAGTTGTCATTCATACTTTTACCAGTTTTTGACTCAAAAAATAATTGACCTAAGGTGAAAAATCTTTTCTTTCCAATTTAAAATATATATTTCAACATATCTATATATAGTTTAGTCA